TTTTTAAATTTTTGGCATGTTGCTCATAATTTCCCAGTAATTCCCTTTAAATGTCTATAAGATCTGGTGATGTCTTTCCTTGTGTTCCTGATGTTGGTAATTTGTTTTTGGGCCTCATTCTTTTTTGTTTTGTTTTGTTTTTTTGAGGTGGGGCATCATTCTTTATTTCTCCTTCTCTCTCACTTTTCACATCTACACATTCCTATTCCCTTTTTAATTTAGAGCAATGCCTAAACTTTTCCTAAGGAGGCTATAATAACCACACTCTAGCCTTCCTGTTTACAGTCTTGCCTCTGTGTCCCGTTTACCTTCTTTTAGGAAGAAAGATCTTTCTAAAGTATAAATGTAATTAAATCTTTTCTCACTTAAAACTTTAATGGTTTCATAATTCCTTCAGGAAAAAAAAAAATCTGTGCTTCTTCCTATGAAATACAAAGTCATCAATGATAAGGTGTCTGTCTCAATAGATACCTGTCTTTTCTTATATTTACTTCTCCCTTTTTATCTCTTCCCACATGCCATAAGGAAGTATACTGCCTTTCTAGGGATCCTGATTTGTCATATTTCACCTAAAAACAGAATGCAGCATTTCAGATGTGATATGATCTATAATAAGTGGACAAAAATTGCCTCCTAACTTCTCCTTTACTGAGATAATTGTTAATAATTGATTGGTATGGTCTCAATATATATTATTTGTTTGACATAATGCCTTTTATTCCATAGATTTTTATATTCACAGCACTGTCTTTCCCCAAAACATTATTTTAGAGCCCAGTTTCCATTTTACTGTTATCTCAAAGCATACTAAGTAAAAGGGCTGCATCTGTTTGCTCCAGTTATAGTGCCTCTCAGAGAGCTGTTTGATCCCTCCTCCTCAAACCCATGGTAATGAGTTTATTTCAGCTTGGCAGTGTTAGTGTTGGTATTCGACCTGCCACCAGATGACTAGATGATGTGTATTTCTTTATAGTACCATTTCATAGTTTGCAAAATCAAGAAACAGTCCTCTGAAACTGTCTAGCTGGTTTGGAAGTAAAGCAGTTCCTTTCCTTGTCAGTTCTTCACCTCCTCACCCTCAGGGGAATCAGGATGCCCCATGTTATGTTTAAAAGCCTAAACATATCAAACTTTTATTCTTCTGTTGGGTTTGAAAGGGGGACGTTATTAGCTCTGTCTTGATGTAGCAGGGGCTCTGAAAGTCTATTTGGATAACACTGAAGATTGGAGGAAATGTGACTCTGTCTGTGTGTTTTAAGCCCCTAAGGTAAGATCAGAAAGCGTCTGGGGCAGTGAGAGCCAAATAGCTGAAGTCATACATTAATTATGGTCATGAATCATTTTTATTTTTAAAGTCTTTACCATTTGACAAGGTTGTTTGCATAGTACCAGTGAGTTTCAGGCAGCATTTTCCCCCTTTTAAAGTAACAGGCTATTTTGTTGATTTCTGCTCTGAGTTGATAATGCCTATTATTATTACAATTCTGATGATTTTTTTAGTAAAAATTGCATGTTTCCTTACTTAAGTGAGTAGTTTTTATTTTATTTTTGTTTTGAATATAGTATTTAAAGTTGTAAATATAGGGAACTATCACTATGATCTTTCACTCTCCCACTGATACCTGTAAAAAATATTCAAATCTTGGGACTGAGCTTTTATGTTCAGGAGTTAGTTGACATGCAGTTCGCAGATATCTTTTGAGTGCCTCCTTTGTGCCACGTTCTGTTCTAAGCGCTGAGAATGTATATAAAAATAAGAGATTTTTTTTTTTCTTGGAGAGATCTAGTAAGGAAATAAACAGTTGGTATAAAATGTGGTTCTGTCATCTTTGTTAGAGGTTCGTATATGGAATGCTGTAGATTTCCAGAGGAAGGAGTGCCTTCATCTGTCTGGAATAGTCCAGAAAGGTCTTTGAAGAAGCAATTGTGCTTGAACTGCCTTTTTAATGGACTCAGGAGTGTACTTATCTGTTAAGAGATGGGGAAAACTTACAGGCAGATAGATCAGCTCACTCAAAGGCACAGAAACAAAAAAATGGCATGATGTGCTTGGAGAATTGCTGGGAGCTGAGCATGCAAGTTAAGGACTATCAGGAAATGAGGATGGAGATATATGCTAGGACTGCATGACAAGGGGCCTCTCTTTGCTTTTAAATTTCTGTAGAGCCAACTTTGTAAGAGAGTATTACTACCAAGAGAGTGTGTACACATGCATTCCCAGCGCAAGAGGTAGTAGGATGGAGTGTAACCTCTGTTGGATTCCACAGGAGCCTCGAGGAAGTTGCTTGAGTAACTTAGCTCATGAGCAAACTAGCTATAGTAAGAGTTGTTCCCTTCTAGATGACCTAAGTTGCTCTCTTTTAGATGGCCCTTTTAGATGATCTAAGAAATCCTCAATAACTATCAAGCAATTTCTGGAAGTGCAGAATATGTCATGAATATTTTTGGTGTATAGTATCATCATCATCATCATCATCATCATCATCATAATGTAGGCAGAGGTAGTAATGTCTTTGCTTGTGTTCCTGATACTGGTTCCCGATGCCATCGAATCCCTGAAAACGTTCACCTTGTATATAGGATATCTTTCAGGTTAGAATTATTGAATGATTTTTAAAAATTGGGGTAAAATTTACACAGTGAAATGCATAGATTCTAAGTGTAAATTCTGCATATAGCTATGTACCCGCACTCCAGGAAAGATATGTTAGACATTTCCATCACCTCAGGGAGTTCCCTTTGTTTCCCCCGTCTTCTACCAGTCAGTCCCACCCCACACAGCAACTCTTGATTTCTGTCATCATGGATTGCTTTTACCTGTTCTTGAACTATGTATAAATGGAATCATACAGTCTACTTTTTGTTCTTGGCTTTTTTCACTCAACATAATGCTTTTGAGATTAGTTCAGATTGTTGTGTGATTCAGTGTGTCTTCCTTTGTATTGATGAGTCGAATTATACCTCAGTTTGTTTATTAATTCTCCTGTTTGATGGACATTTGTGTTGTTTTCTGTGAAAATCTTCTACAGATCTTCATGTAGACATATGTTCTTATTGTTCTTGAGTAAATGCTTAGGAGTAGAAATACTGGGTCATAGGTTAGATGGATGTTTAACTTTATAAGAAACTGTTTTCCAAATTGTAGTACTTTTTTACACTCTTATTGGTAATGTATACAAGTTGCTCCACATCCTTGCTAGTATTAGGTGTTGTTATTTTAATTTTGGCTATCCTAGCTGGTGTAAAATGGTATCTTCTTACGATTTTAATTTGCATGTTCGTGATGACCAAGATGTTGAGTACCTTTTCTTGTACTTACTGGCCACTCTTATGTCAACTTTGTGAAGAATTTTACTTTTTTGCCCATTTTTTATTGGGTTGTCTTTTTGTTACTGATTTATAAGAGTTCTTTATATACTCCAGACACAGTCCTTTGTCAGATTGATGTTTTGCAAGTATTATCTCCCAGACTGCTTATCATTTTCTTAATGCCATCTTTAGATGTACAGACATTTTTTATTTTTGTGAGGTCCAATTTATCTATTTTTAATTTTATGGTTAGTGCTTTTCATGCCTTCTCTACGAAATCTTTACCTCCCCCAGGGTTGCAAGAGATTCTCTATTTTTTCTACAAGTCTTATGATTTTAGGGTTTATGTTTACTATGCTGTCATTGAATTAATCTTTTGCATGTGCTGTGAGGTAGGGAATGAAATTAATTTTTTTTGCCAGTTTATCCAGTACCATTTGTTTAGAAAACTTTATTTTCTCCATTAGTTTGTCTGGATTCCTTTGTCCAAAATCAGTTGGCCATATATGTGTAGCTTTATTTATTTAATCTTTACTCTGTTCCATTGATCTATGTTTTGATCGTTATGCCAGTACCATATTGTTTTGATTATGTAGTTTTATTAAAAAAAAAGTGTATCTGGGTTTATCTCTTCTAGAGTCTTTGTTTTTCTTTATAAATTACAGTATCAGCTTCTTAATTTCTTTAAAAAAATGAAAGCCTTTTGAGATCAGAATTGTGATTGTGAAACAAAGACCCGTGTTTAGAAATATAATGAATTTCTGTATATTGACCTCGTAACCTGTGACCTTATTAGTTCTAGTAGTTGTTTTGTAGATTACTAATGAAATTCATTTTCGTTTTATGAAAATCATGATATCTAAAAATAAAGACAATTTGTATATATGTATAAAGAAATATATAAGCTATATTTGAAGACCAACAGACTAAGAAAGACACAAACCGATAATGAAAGCAAAAAAGAAAAATTGTTCTTAATTTTTTCAGTGTTTCTTGTTTCAGAGTGGCTACTGCTGCTTTAACTGGGATTATTGTTAATTCTTTTTTTCTTTGTATATACCCATAGGTAATATTTTTTGTTATCAGTGATCTTCTCCTGGTGACTTTAACACTCCACTTAATTTCTCTGGGCCTCAGTTTTCATCTTTGTAACATGATAGAATTCAACCAAATTCTTTCCTTTAAGAAAAACAAAAACAAAAAACAAACATTATTTATCTATAGAGAGAGAGCGCATTGAGGGAAGGACAGAGGGATAGAATCTTCAAGCAGACTTCCTGCCCAGTGTGGAGCCTGACTGTGGGCTTGATCCCTTGATCCATGAGATAATGACCTGAGATGAAACCAAGAGCCAGGTGCTCAATCAACTGAGCCACTGAGGAACCCCTCAACTAGATTATTTTCTAAGGTGTCTTCCAGACTCCTGTGAGTTTGCCATTTTAGCTCTCAGTATATCAGAGGTGGGCAGGCAGGCAGGAATAGAAAGGATGTTTTTAGGGTCCACAGTAATTCCTGTTTATTTCATTATAAATATGCTAGGGAATAATGACCTGAAATGGTTAGTTTGAGTTGATTACTAGTTCTGCTTATCCTGGAAGGTTTGTCCTCATTTTGTTCCATTTATATCTGTCGCTCTGTGTTAAAAGTTTATAGTTAACTCACTTAAATTTTTCTGCAACTTTTATTTCTAGGCTTCATAGAGCCCAGTGTGCAATTAAACAGACTCAGGTAACTGTTCAGAAAATTGGAAAGGAAATTGAAGAAAAGCTAAGGCTCACATCTACAAGCAATGAACTGGTAGGTTTTAAAATATATTTACTTGTTTAGACTCCTTGATCTCTAAATGTGATCATCATGTTCTTCTTATGTTAATTAATTTCTTTTTCGGAAAACTTTAGTTATTTTTTCTTTTAATGTTTTGCTGAGACTTATGTTGGCATTTAAATGTTGGAGAACACTTTGCTATTTCCTGTAATCTAACATGCAGAGTGCCTGCCTTTTGCTGCTAGGTGAAATTTTAGATTACATACAATTACTTAGAAAATAACTAAACGTTATTTTATTAATGTCTTACCAATGTAAACTCTAGATGCCAACTGTATAGTGAATAAGAAATAGCTGCCAGAAAGAAAAAAAAAAAAACTTAAGGGACTAATCTCCTTTTAAAAGAAGAATTTAAAATTATTGGATTGGACTTAATAGGTTGGTTTATGGATGGTGTTCTCTCTTGGGAAAGATTCCTTTTGGGAAAGATTGATGAGGCATTTCCAAAGAAATAGAAATTCCAACCCAAATAGACGGATTTAATATATTAGTATAATTTGGGGTTGTTTTATACTCTTTCTAGTGGACAAAAATACTAATTTTGATATAAAGATTGTGTCTTTGTAAGCAGAATAGTAGGCATAACTAATAAATTGAACTTTTCTCAAAATGAAGCCACATGGCTATGGTTAGCTTTTGTTGAAATTTGTGCTATGGATTATGATAGTTAAAATACAATTCAAATCCTCAAATTAAGTCCTAACCAAAAAAGCTTGAAATATTTGTTTTCTCCTAGATAGGCAGTATCTTCCAGTTGTCATTTATAGCACCATCAACTTAGGAGAAGGCCTTTGTACCTCTAAACAGATATTCTGTATTATCTTGAAGATATGCCAGCGATAGTAATTTAATAGATGAACTATAGAAAAACAGCACAGTTAACCATCAACAGAGATGTCTCTCTCATGGAATTTGAAGTGAATGGATGATGATGTATTTAAACTATATAAAATTGCTGATTTTGACCCATAAATGGTAGTTTCATATAATTCAACCTGATGGATAAAGTGTCTGATGCTTACAGCGGGCATACAAAATATGGTAGCTATAATAGCTATAGTAGTAATGCTTATCCATCTGATTTTTCTTGCCTTTGGAAAATCTTCTGTTTTGGAGAAGCTGTCAAACCACCTCTTGTTTTAACTCAGCCTTGGTAAAGGAAGAAAAGCCAGACCACAAATATATTGGAAAAGGAGAAAAAGCAGCTAATTTTAAGCCTTTCTGTAGTGTACAGAAATGCCACATTTATAGAACCTTTGTCTGAGGACAAATTGCTAGGCTGGCTTTCTTTCTTTCTTTCTTTCTTTCTTTCTTTCTTTCTTTCTTTCGTCTCCCAAGGCAAGACTGAGAAATTACTTATTTCATTAAATGACAGCATATGTTTTATCTCAGTATGGAAAAATGTATGTTTAATCCTATTTTTCTAAAATATAAGTGGTGACACACCAAGCAAGGTGATAGAATGTGTGAGTTTAAGGAGGTCAGGTTCAGAGGTTCACTGTGTGTTTTTATGCTGCCTGGTCAACATAGACAAGAATTGTTGATTTTTGAACTGAAGGTGAACCTAGGCATCATCTAGTTCCCATATAACTTCCCTAAAACCAACCCTCCTCAGTACATTCTGTTCCCTTCCCTGTTACATTTTTCTCCATAGTATTTATTACCCTTTAACATGCTATATATTTTACATAGGTATTTTATTTATCTGTCTCTCTAATCTCTGTGAGGGGAGACATTTTTGTCTGTGTTTCTTCACTGCTGTATTCACCAGTGTCTAGAAGAGTGCTTAACACATAGTAGGTTCAATAAATATTAGATTTACAAATGAATCTAGCATGTTAAATAACAAAATTCAACCAAGTTAATTTGAGTATCTACTTGACTTTTTCAAATGATTTATGAATCAGTGGGGCGGCACCTCTTCTAGAGAGAGCTCCAAAGCTCTCTCCAAAGAGTCCTACAGAATGCAAGGTTTTTAATAGAAGGAGGGTGGGGGCAAGAAAGTTATTAGCAAAAGAAAAGGATTTTCAAAAGAAAAGGCGGCTTTCTAGGAGTAAAAGCAAGGTCTCTTAGCTTGTGGATTGCCTCATCTTTTTTGTGGAGAAAGAGAGGGCCAAAGTGGCAATCTTACTAGCATGGTTTGAAAGATTCTTGGCTGGCCAGGTAAGACTGCATTTCTAGAGGAGGTTAGTTTGGGAACTTGGTCTAAGTGACACTATTTGGGGCCTATATTTTGTCTTTTTATTTATTTATTTTTTAAATAAGGATTAAAAACAAGCATTAAACTGTTAAAAAAGGACGGAGAATGAGGCCTGAAGAAAGGAAACAACTTTCCCATAATCATTTGACAAGTAAAGACAAATTTTGGTTTACTTGTCTTCTTTTGGGGAATAATACCATTTACTTATTAATTTTCTACTTTACAACTTATCTGTAGCAAATTAGAAACCTTTACTACTACCTTTTTCCCTCATTCCTTTCTAAATTGGCCCAAGGTCATTATACTTCAGCCCAAGCATTTTCAATTTTTAAGAATTGACTTTAATTTTAGCCTATATCTAGGGGCACCTGGGTGGCTCAGACAGTTGAACGCCTGCCTTCAGCTCAGGTTGTGGTACCAGGGTCCAGAAATTGAGCCCCGCATCGGGCTCCTGCTCAGTGGGGAGCCTGCTTCTCCCTTCTCCCTCTGCCTCTCCCCCTGGCTTGTGCTGTCTGTTGCCTACTCGCTGGCTCTCTCTCTCAAATAAGTAAATAAGTAGATAAGTAAATAAATAAAATAATTTTAGCCTATGTATAATAAGAAGACATACTTGATGCTGAAAGAAATTAGAACACTTTGTAAGACCAAACGTAAGTACCTCTGTTATTAGAAATTGAGTTCATACTTGATGGCTTTTAAAGATTTCGCATCTTCTCATACTACATCAATAGACAACTTATCTTTTTGACATTTAGTTACATTTCTTATGAAATTTCTACCATTGTTATCTTGAATTTTTGCCTATGTTTTGGATTTTTCAGCTGCCTTTCCTGTATCTGTTGATAATTGTATTTTTGCCCATGTTCTTGTATTATGATGATAAAATACATTGGTTAATTTTTAAATGTTAATCCAGTGTTGCATTTTTGGGGAAAGCCCCTCTTGTTCATGAGGAGTTATTATTTTTTTATGTGTATTGCCAGATTCAATTTGCTAAAATGTTTCAAGTATTTTTTTAAAGATTTTATTTTTAAAAATTTAAATTTTTTTTAAAAAAAGTAAATAAATACATAAAGTAATAAATAAATAGAAAGATAAATTAAAAGATTTTTATTTATGTATTTGTGAGCAAGAGAGAGAAAGCACCACCAGAGGAGGAGTAGAGTGAGAGGGAGAAGCAGACTCCCTGCTGAGCAGGGAGCACAATGCCCTGGGACTCCGGGAGCATGACCTGAGCAAAGGCAGATGGATAACTGGCTGAGCCACCCAAGTGCCCCTGTTTAAAGGATTTTTGCATCTATATTTACGGGGAATATTGGTCTGTAATTTTGTTTTCTTATAATCTGTTCGTGTGGTTTTGTTATCAGGGTGAGATTGGCCATAACTAGTGACTTGGGAAGTGTTTTTTCTTCTATTTTCTAAAAGGTTGTGTGTAGAATTGGAATTATTTCTTAAATGTTTGGTAGAATTTACCAGTGAAGCCATCTGGACCTGAAATTTTCTTTGTGGATTTTGAACTAAGAATTCAGTTCTTTAATAGTTGTGGATTATTGATGTTATCTGCTTCTTGAGTGAGCTTTAGTAATTTATGTCTTTCAAGAATTTGTCCATTTCATTTAAAAGGTTAGTCTTTTTAATTTTAGCCCTTCTCTTATTGGATGTGTAGTGTTCTCTAATTTTAGTTTATAATTGCATTTTTATGATAAACATTTTTCATATATTTATTGGTCACTTGTGTATTCTTTAAGAAGTATAAGTTTATTTCTGCCCATTAAAAAAAATAAACTATTTAGGTTTACAGAAAACTTGCAGAGATAGTTCAGAGAGTTTCCATTTGACTTTCATCTGGTTTCCCTTAATATTAACCTCTTCTATAACCATGTTACATTTCACATGGTACATTATCAAACCAAGAAGTTGACACTGATACATTACCATTAGCTGTGGCCTTTATTCAGGTTTCACCAATGTTTCCACTCATGTCTTTCTTTTAAATAAATAAACTTTATTTTACAACAATAGTAGATTTATAGAATTATTACAAAGATGGTACAAAGAGTATACCCTACAACCAATTTCTCCTGTTACTAACATTTTACCTTAACGTTATAGTTAATGCATCTGTACTGATAAATCATCATTCACTAAAATCCAGGCTTTCTTCAGATTTCCTTAATTCTTACCTGAAGTTCTTTTCTCTTCCATGATCCCGTGCAGGAACCCATATTACATTTAGTAGACAGGCTTCCTTAGACTCTTCTTGGATGTGAAAATATTTCAGGCTTTCATTGTTTTTAATGACTTCGACAATTTTGAGGATTACTTGTCAGATATTTTATAGAATATCTCCTGACTGGGACTTGTCTGATGTTTTGCCATGATTAGCCTAGATTCTGATATCCCTTTTTTTGGTTCCAGTATCCAGCCCAGGATACCACACTGAATTTAGTCATGCCTTCCTAGGCTTCTCTGATCTAGGACAGTTTCTCATTCTTTCCTATATTTAAATCACTATTTCTTATCAGTGTTGATATTTACCTGAGTCACTACTTGGTTAAGGTAGTGTCCCCAGGTTTATCCATTATACTCCTTTGGAGTATCCTTTCCATGCTGAATTTTTTGAAAGCAAAATACTAAGTCCAGCTTTCATTCCAGTAGAGGGGACTAGTTTCATATTTTTCCCCTCATTTTTAAATGGAATTTCTGTCTTCTTATGTTAAACAGAGGGGAAGGGGAGAAGGAGAGAGGAGAGTGCGTGTATATGCACATGTTT